CCAAAGCCATGGTGGCAAGGGCTGAGGCAGAGGCAGTTAGGGGCGAGCAGGCACACAGGCAGGTGAGCGGTTAGGAGTCAGCTAGGGGGATTCAGACTGCCCATTTAGATGGGAATCGGCCTAAACCGGCAGACAGACATCCCTGAGGGGTCCCAGATTGAAAAAGGTGCAGGCTGGGCTGAGGGACATCCCCCCACCCCAGTGCACGAATTTCATGCACTGGGCCTCTTGTCAAATTGATAAACACTGGTTACCTGTGGGAATAGTTACTGTTAAGGAGATGGGGGAAAGACATTTTCACTTTTTTATTTTTCAAACTTCATTCTAGTGACATATATAAATAGGGAGCTTATATTTATATATTACTTTATCAATAAAATACCTATTAAAATGGCTTAATCTTTTTCTGCACTAAAACAGATTAGTTGCTCTGTTGACAAAATCTCAATGTCCCCTGACTTTTAGGGGTTTCCTCCAGAACAGTTGTTCTCAAAGTGTGACCCTAGAGCAACAGCACTGCATCATCTGGGAACCTGGTAGAAATGCAATTTATTGGGTCCCACCCCTGACCTACTGATTCAGCAACCCTATTGGAGTAGGGTCCTGCCAGCTGTGTATTGACACCTTCTCATGTGATGCCTTTCATGAATATCTGAAGGGATTCCCCTGAGAATGCCCTGCAGGCAGTTAGCAAAACTCAACTGGACTTGAGTCCTTAGAAAACAGAGTTAAGGACTAGCCTGAAGAACAAAATTATGGGGCTTTTCTTAGAGAAGAAATCAGAAGAAACTGCATGCAACAGAAGTAACCTTATGTCTCTAAACCCATGAAGTGTAAAGCATTCTGATGCCTCCATTGCTGTGAGAGGGAAAATTTAGCTTCTTTCTTCTGCCTGACCTTGAAATTCCTTCAATCAGGATAAAAGTGTCTTTCTAAAGAACATAGCTAATCTTTGGGAGAAGAGAAATCTCTAGGGCAGCGGTTCTCAACCTGTGGGTCGCGACCTCTTTGGCGGTCGAACGACCCTTTCACAGGGGTCACCTAAGACCATCCTGCATATCAGATATTTACATGATGATTCATAACAGTAACAACATTACAATGATGAAGTAGCAACGAAAATAATTTTATGGTTGGATCACAACATGATGAACTGTATTTAAAGGGACAGAAGGTTGAGAACCACTGCTCTAGGGGATACAGTCAGTGAATCCTTCATAGGGAATGAAAATACAGTCTGCTCTCCCCAATGTGAATGAGTGATTAGATGGTTCTGGCCTTTATGAATGGAATTAATGAACCTTCAGAGAGGCATCAATTTGTACCTTCATTGTAACCTGGTAACCTTTGAAAGCCTGGAGCCGCTTTTTCTTCTCCTCTTCTTGTCCCATACTTATCCAAGTATCTGTAATTAATACATTTCCTCCACGAGCCGCTTCCAATGGATCATTCGTCAGCGACAGCTTGGTACTGTTCTAGAATACACAAGCATGCCAATTAAACAACTTCATGGGACAAAGAAAAGCAATAATAACTTTATCTATAAGGAACATACCTCCTTTGCATACTGCTCTGCCAACTTGATTATACTGGGATCTGGTTCATAACCCTGCAGGGGGAAGAATTTAATTGTTATTTAGGTAATTCTATTATATATACTTTCTTCCATATGCATTATATTCCTTTCAACAACATTCCCAATCTCCTTCCCTTCTTTTTGCTTTCAGTTGTAGCACAATCATGTTTAGTAGTTTGTAATATTTACATCTTGATCAAATCATAATAGTGCTTTTTGAAATTTAAAAAGATAACCAGTTCTCGCAATTTTCTTTTATTGTCTTGACCTCTTTAGTCATAAAGACTGAGTGGGATTGAGGTTCTTTTTAGCTCTTGCTAGCACTCCTTCTTGTTCCTCTAATAGCTTAAGAGGATCATATACATAATTCCACAACCTTATGCATTTTTTGTCTCAGAGTATTTCCATGAGTTGTTTTTTTAAAATATATCTTTATTGATTTCAGAGAGAAAGGGAGAGGGAGAAAGAGAAACATCAATGATGAGAAAGAATCATTGATCGACTGCCTCCTGCATGCCCCACACTGGGGACCAAGCCTGCAACCCAAGCATGTGCCCTGACTGGACTCAAACCTGGGACCTTTCAGTCCGCAGGCCAATGCTCTATCCACTGAGCCAAACTGGCTAGGGCATGAGTTGTTTGGGGTTTTTTAAAATGCTCTTTTGTCTGAAATGCTTTCCCACACCTGCTCCATGTGGAATAACAGTTTCAAATATTTCCTCAAATATCTATACTAATAATAGCCTAGGTGGTCCTTGCGCCCTTGCACATGACGTTGTCACAAGATGGCCATCACAGGATGGCTGCCACAAGATGGCCATGTGCACTGTGGAGGCAGGGCCCAGTGGCCACTCCATGCAGTAAGGCCTGGGGGTCCCATGGTTCCATGCGGCATGGAGGAGGCTGGTTCCCGGGGTCTCCACTGCCTCATGCGGAGGAGGCAGGTCCTGGCATAGAAGGCAGGTCACGGCAGGGGAGAGCAGTTGGGGGTGATCAGGCTGGCAGGGGAGGGCAGTTGGGGGCGATCAGGCTGGCAGAGGAGGGCAGTTGAGGGCTATCAGGCTGGCAGGGGAGCAGTTAGGCATCAATCCGGCCAGCATGGGAACGGTTTGGGGCAAATAGGCTGGCAGGCAGGCAAGAGGTTAGGAGCCATCAGTCCCGGATTGTGAGAGGAATGTCCAACTACCGGTTAAGCCCCAAGGGGTCCCAGATTGGAGAGGGTGCAGGCTGGGCTGAGGGACACCCCCCCTCCATGCATGAATTCCATGCACCAGGCCTCTAGTTTCCTCATAAAAACCTTCCCTGATAACCCCAGATAAATACTAACACCTTACATGCACACCTTATTCTTTTGCACTGACCAACAAGTGTTGTGAGTGTCAGGCACTTGCTCTGCAATGGCACTTACACAGCAAGCAAACTGTTTTCACTAAAATATATTTGTTTGGGATGGTTTGCTGATAGAAGGGTCAGGACTTGAGGGAGGCAAGCAAGGTGCCTAGGACATAAAATATAAGGAGGTGCTCACGGTCAGAGTCGTGCAAGAACAAATTTTGCATTATAAGGTGCCTAGATTGCACACCCTAGTCTCAACTCTAGATGAGAAGACATGATTAGAGCAGCTAAAGACCCTCATGCTTTTCCAGAACCCATAGGTAGCCCCTCTACCTCTAATCCTCTCCTTCCAATCTGCTCTGTACATTAAGCAAGATGTTTTTTTTCCTCTGAAGCCTCCAATGTTTACTTTGTTTCTTTTTTTATTTATTTATTTTTTTAAATTAAATCTGAAGGGAGAGGGATAGAGAGTCAGAAATATCGATGAGAGAGAAACATCGATTAGCTGCCCCCTGCACAACCCCTCCTGGGGATGTGCCCGCAACCCAGGTACATGCCCTTGACCGGTATCGAACCCAGGACCCTTCAGCCCGCAGGCCGACGCTCTCT